GTATCTGCATAAAGAAACACTGAAAAGAAACTAATAAAATGGTTATCTACGAGAGTGGAAAGAGTGGGGTAGATGAGGATAGGAGTGGGTACGGTAATTTTAAATGTAGGACTTGTTACTTTGTTTTTATTTTTGAACCATGTTAACATATTACTTATTCTAAACAAACAAACAAACAAACAAATAAATAAACATTTAAAATAAAAAAGTGGGCTGGGGGGGAAACAAGGTCATCCATAAGCTATATCAGGAAAGCCCAAGATTTTCATCTACTCAAAGGCCAAAACCATCACTAAATTCTGCTACCTGTGTACTTACTGAATACCAGCATGCCACCAGTAAACCTATGGAAATGAAATCAAGAAAATTGACATGTCTTTGGGCTGTATATTGCCTGGAGAATCCAAATACCATGAAACCATGGTAGACCTCACAGAGATGGTTATGTGTTTCACATTCTCCATGGCACTGAGACTTCTTCCTGACCCTTTTCTGGTCATCACATACTGGTTTCACAAGCAGTCAATTTAGGCCACATAGGAAAATGACAGAGAAGATCATCAACAATAAGAACAACAACATGCAAGGAATTTTTTATTGAATCATTTAGCTACTGGGTCACATACAAAGACAGCTGTATATATAAAGAGAATTGATAAGGATCTTCAAATGGCTTCAAGGTGGGCTAGGTGGCCCCCTTGCTCAGATTTCCATCATGCATTGAACCTACCAAGTACATAAATGCTACCATTTAAGGCAATGCTTGGGTAAAAGTTTGGAAGGCCCTAGCTAAATAGGGAGTTGGAGAGTTATCTTATTAAGTGATTACCATCCAATAACACCTTATTACGAATTAGCCAGTTATCTTGGATCCTGAAAAGCGGAAACAGGAAATTAGATTTTTATTCTGAAATGAAAACTAAAGGGAATAGTGCAATGAACACTAGCAGAAGAAGGCAGGCTTGGGTGAGCCACAGTAATAGGGGTTGGGAGGAGGGGATGAAACATGAGAGGCTGGGAAATGGCAGGGTAGACAGGGAAAAGGAGGGGCCATGATGAAAACCCAGCCTGGTTCCATGTAGTTTGTCACACAGATGTCTGAGCCCCCACCAAGATTTACTAAATCATATGGCAGATGAAACACCATATTATCAAAAATATAATGCAAATAAAAGAAGAGTTATAAAATTTTATCAAGCATGCCAAGTGACTTTAATAATGTATAATAAGTTTTGAGAACTTCAGCTTTCTATCTACTTACAATGGCAGTTGTATTTCTTACTGCAAATGATTAAATTATTTGTTTGTTTGTTTGTTTTACAATTGCACAAGAGAGCAACCCTAGGACATGCCTAACACCCCAATGACATTAGGGTACCCAAGTAACTTCATGATCAAAGACTAGAATTAAAGCAACTGAAAAAAGAGAGGGAAAAAATAATAATAAAATAAAATAAAGAAAAAGAAAGAGAAAAAAGAGAGGGCAAGAGAAATGTTTTAAGAAAAGTGTGAAGCAAGGCAACTTTGAGTGAAAACATTGGCCTATTCATAAAATGAAGACACAAACCCACAAATTCCAGCAGATCCTATTATTTCAGTTACAAACTGAAGGATAATGTTCACATAGGCATAGTACTAAAATGATGATTGGTCATACAAAGAACAATCAACCACATTTTCTATTAGCCATGTTATCATTACACATAAAGGACAATACGTTATATATATACACAGATAATTTAGTTACTTTCACCAATGAAGGTGAACAACGTCATAGATAATTCAAGCTATCAAATAATTCAAAAGTAATACTAGTGTGGCTGTGGAATGTATTTAAAAATGTGCTCTGCTTTAACAAAACCAAATATGCATCGAAGTTCAGATGATAACAAATAACAAATGATTGTGTGCATTACAAAAGGTTATTTGCTTTAGAGCAACTGTGGGTCTAGTATGATTCTGTTTATAATAATTCAACTTAGAGGCAGCACTTTAAATCTGTTGTTAAATTTGTTTTAATTATTTAGGGGAAAGAGGTGAGTAGTGACTGAAAGGGACACAAAGGGGCTTTGGGGTGATAACAACATTCTGTTTGCTGATTCGCTGCTTACTTGAGTGTGTTTCGCTTATGAAATTTCATCAGGCTTATGCTATGTGCACTTTTCTGTATGTATACTTCAATGCAAAGGTTAAAAAATGAAAGAGTGAGGAAAAGTATGACAGGAAAACAAACAAAATACACAAGAAGAAATAAACAGTGCTAGGGCATTATATGTAAATTTAACAGATGGTGTCATTTTCTTGTGAGTTTGATCAGAACCATACAACCCTGACCACTCATCAATCTATGAACAATTGTAAGCTATACATGGGAGATTTGGATGTGGATGTGAATGGTTGAACAAATTTGAATTAGATTTTTGTGATTACTTTAAAAAAACAATAAGACAAATATTTTAAACTATATATAGTCTCTCAGATTTTCTAGAAGAAAATCATATTGTCTGCAAACAATAAAAGTTTTGTCTCTTCCTTTAAAATATTTATATATTTTTCTTTTTCTTTTTCATTGACTGTGAATTCAAGGGAAATGTTGGCAAGAAGCAGTGCTATTGGACACCTTTCTTTTATTTCTAACTTTATTGATACTTTTACCTTGATAACAAAGCTTTTCAAATTTTTTTACCATGTCTACAGTAATATATATATATATATATATATATATATATATATATAAATATATATATATATTGCAATCTAGTATGCACACACATACACACACAAAAATTTACAAGAAACAATGCTTACCCTTTCTACATAAAACATATGCTAACATTTTATATCCTAGTTCATGTTTTCATGTTGAGTGCATTAAGACATTTAGCAACAACTGGGGAAATTTGGAATATTACTGAGTTTTAGATGATATTAAGGAATTATTAAGACTTTGTTAGGTGTAATAATTATATTGTGGTTATGTAGGGAAATACCCTTATATTTTAGAGATGCATACTGAAGTTTTTAAAGTTTTTAACATGATAATTTACTTTAAAATACTTCAAATAGATGGTTAGTATGACAAAATGTTAACCATTGGTAAATCTAGCTGATGAACACACCTATTACATGCTTTTTCTCAAAGATGGCAATACCAAGAGCTCCTGAGAATGCACAGCAATTGAAAGTCTAATGTATTTCTGGTAAGAATACCAAATGGTAGAGCCACTCTGGCAAACACTTTGGCAGTTTCTCATAAAGTTAAGCATACACTTACCATAAGACCCAACAATCTCACTCCTAGATATATACTGAAGATAAACGAAAACATACATTCACACAAAGACTTGCATGTGACTTCATAGCAGCTCTATTCATAATAGCCAAAAAGGAATAATCTAAATATCTGTCAACTGACAAGAGGATTTTAAAAAGTGGGGTATAATACATCAACAAAACAAAATGACAACCTACTGAATGGGAGAAGATATTTGCCAATGATACATCGGTAAGGGGTTAATATCCAAAATTTATGAAGACCTCATAAAACTCAATAACAAAAAAAGTAACAATGCAATTAAAAAATGGGCAGAGAACCTGAATAGACAGTTCTCCAAAGAGGACGTACAGATGGCCAATAGACCTAAGAAAAGATGCTCAAAGTCACTAATCATTAGAGAAATGCAAATCAAAACCACAAAGAGATATCACCTCACACCTGTCAGAATGGGTAGCATCAACAAATCAATGAACAACAAGCATTGGTTAGCAAGGATGTGGAGAAAAGGGAATCCTCAGGCACTGTTGCTGGGATTACATTGCTGCAGCCACTATAGAAAACAGTTTGGAGGTTTCTCAAAAAATTAAACAAAGAACTACCTTATAACCCAGCAATTCCACTTCTGGATATTTATCCAAAGAAATCCAAAACACTAATTTGAAAAGATCTAGGCACCCCTATGTTCACTGCAGTGCTATTTACAATAGCCAAGATATAGAATCAGCCCAATTGCCCATCAATAGACGATTGGATAATAAAAAATATATATATACATATATATATATATATATATATGCACACACACACACACACATACACACACACACACAATGGAACATTACTCAGCCATCAAAACGTATGAAATCTTACCATTTGCGACAACATAGATGGACCCAAAGGGTATTATGCTTAGTGAAACAAGTCAGACAGAGAAAGACAAATGCCATTTAATTTCACTTATATGTGTAATCTAAAGAACAAAATTTTAAAAAAAATAAACAGATTCATAGATATGGAGAACATTTTGAGGGTTGCCAGATGGGAGAGAGGTTGGGGAGCTGGGTGAAAAAGGTGAAGGGATTAAGAAATACAAATTGCTAGTTACAAAATAGTCAGAGGGATGTAAATAAAGTACAGCATACAGAATGTAGTCAATAATGTTGCAACAACTATGTATAGTGCCAGGGGTGTACTAGACTAATCAGAGGGATCGCTGCATAAGTTACATAAATGTCTAACCACTATGCTGTACTTCTGAAACTAACATAGAATAATATTGAATGTCAACTGTAATTGGAAAATAAATAAATGAAAAAATAAATAAATAGGAAATCGCAAAACAAAAAAGGATTGTAAGGAAAGTCTTTGTGCATGAAACTTCCTGTATTCTGATTATGTCCTTAAAATAGATTCTTAGCAGAATTACTGGATAGAAGTATATGATATATATATAGAATTATTCTCCAAAATGATTTTACCAACTTTACCAGTCTTACCAACAATGTTTGAGAGTGCCCATTTTCTTACATAAAGGATTTGGAAGGTGAGGACCACTCACATTCAAGTTATTAAAAACAAACAAGAGTCGGCTTGAGCGCGCACGGCAGTGAGGAGGGCTCCTGCGCCGCCTCACCTTCAGCCGCTGTCTTCTGTCTTCGGACTGCGCCGCTTGAGCCGGACGCCCCTCCGCAATCCTCGCCGCCTCCACCCCCGCGGCCGCTGCTCCCCTCCCCGTTGGCGCGCACACCATGACGAAGAAAGACAAGAAGTCCTTCAACCAAAGCCTGGCCGAGTGGAAGCTCTTCATCTACAACCCGACCACCGGAGAGTTCCTGGGGCGCACCGCCAAGAGCTGGGGTTTGATCTTGTTCTTTTACCTAGTATTTTATGGGTTCCTGGCTGCACTCTTCACATTCACAATGTGGGCTATGCTTCAGACTCTGAACGATGAGGTTCCAAAATATCGTGACCAGATTTCTAGTCCAGGACTTACGGTTTTTCCAAAACCAGTGACTGCATTGGAATATTCATTCAGTATGTCTGATCCAGAGTCCTATAAAGGGTACATTGAAGACCTTAAGAAGTTTCTAAAGCCATATGGTTCAGAAGAACAGAAGACTCTCAAAGACTGTAGTAATGGAACAGTTATTGAAAAGCAGGGTCCAGTCTATGATGTATGTCAGTTTCCTGTTGGCTTACTTGAAGAGTCCAGTGGTGTGAATGACCCTAACTTCGGCTACTCCAGAGGACACCCTTGTATTCTGGTGAAAATGAACAGAATAATTGGATTAAAGCCTCAAGGAACACCAAGGATAGAGTGCTCTAATCAAAAGGGTGATGACAATGTAACTCTAACAGTTTATCCTACTGGTGGAATTGTAGACTTAAAATATTTTCCATATTATGGGAAAAAACTGCATGCAAGGTGTCTACAGCCATTAGTTGCTCTCCAGCTCGGCTTTGGTACTAGTAGCACCTCAAGAGACGTAACAGTCGAGTGCAAGATTAATGGGTCACCCAACCTAAAAAACCGTGATGATCGTGACAAGTTTTTAGGACGAGTTGTGTTCAAAATCTCAATGCATGCATAGTAGGAGTCAGGATGGCTCCACAGAGTAAATGTTGTATTGTCTGTCTTCATTTTGTATCAGCTGGACCTGACATTCTAGAATTTTGAGCCTACCTTAGAGAAAGGTGGGGTGGTACATGACACTGGGGTAACATCATAAAGTGCTTCCAGATCATAGTGTTCAATGTCCTCTGAAGTAACTGCCTGTTGCCTCTGCTGCCTTTTGGAACCATTGTACAGTCACCGGATAGGGACCATGAACACCTGATGCTGAACATGGAGGATGGGGGTCTTGTCCTGTTTTTATGTGGTTTAATTGCCAAGTGTCTAAAGCTTAATGTGCTGTGCTATGTAAATATTTTATAGATTTAACACTGGTTAACTGTCATATTTTGATGCCAGCAAAGTTTTAGGGATAAAATGGTACCTGACCAACAAAATGACTTTATAGCTGCAAAAAATGTGTTGTGTGGAGGTTCTGTATATGTGAGGAAGAAAAAATAATAAATGTGGATTTGAAAGGTAAAAAAAACAAACAAACAAAACAAACAAAAGTTAAGTCTTGGCTCATCAGCCATTTCTTGCCCTTTCTATACTCTCCCCTCCACCCCCATGTGCCCAAAGTCTTCTACACTGCTTCCTGACCACCCAGGATCTCTCATGGCACTGTCACACCCAAGCCTGTCTTCCCTAGAAAAGTTGACATTCTAGAGCAGCAGTTCTCAACCTTCCTAATGCCGCGACCCCTTAATACAGTTCCTCATGTTGTGGTGACCCACAACCATAAAATTATTTTCGTTGCTACTCTATAACTGTAATTTTGCTACTGTTATGAATCGTAATGTAAATATCTTTTTGTTTTCCAATAGTCTTAGGCGACCCCTGTGAAAGGGTCGTTCAACCCCCAAAGGGGTTAAACCCACAGGTTGAGAACCACTGTTCTAGAGCTTTCCCTCCCTATCCTATCCCCACGCCCAAATTCAAAACTCAACATCCTGCATCCTATCCTCTCAGCCTACCATAGCCGGTAAATTTATCTTATATATTAATTACCAACAAGGAATTAAAAGACAATAATACATGTGAGCGTTAGGCCAAAAATGGTCCCAAAAAGATATCCACATCAAATACCTGGAACCTGTGACTGTTACCCTATTCCGGGGGCTGGCAAACTGTGGCTCGCGAGCCACATGCGGCTCTTTGGGTACGTTCCATCTCAGAAGTTTGCCAACCCCTGGAAGAGCCAATCCTTTCCCTCACAACAATTTAAAAATTATTCGAGAGCCATCAATATATCTTTACATGATCACCGTTATGTGAATAATATCCTTTAAAAATTTTATAAATGAAACTATGATAGTTTTAATTTCATTTTCAATTTTACCTCAGAGCCACAGTTTGCTGACCCCTGGCGGCTCTTCCATCTCAAAAGTTTGCCAACCCCTGCCTTATTAGGAAGAGTCTTTGCAGATATCATTTGAATTAAGCATCTTCAGAGGAGGAGAAAATCCTGGATTTTCAAAATAGGCCCTAAATGCCATTATAAATGTCCCTACAAGAGAGAAGCAGAGGAAGATCAGACACACAGAAGAGAACTGGGCCATGTCAAGAGGCAGAGATTGGAGTGATGTTACAACAAGCTCAGGAATGGTGGCCAGCAGCCACCAGAGATAGGAAAAGGCAAGGAAAAGATTCTCCCCTAGATCTTCTGGATAGATCTTGAACCTGCCTACACCTTGAATTTGGACTTCTAGCCTCCAAAACTGTGAGAGAACCAATTTCTGTTGTCTTAAGCCATCATCTTTGTGGTAATTTGTTACAGTAGCCACAGGAAACGAATACAACCTGTCACCCTGTCTGTACATTAGGATAGGACCTGGGGGAGATATTGTGATTTATTAAATAACCAGCAGGTGGCAGTGCTGTGCAGACAATCGCATAGAAATTGGTTCTGTTACTTTCTCCTCCCCTTGGATATCAACTTTACTTTCATCACTCCAACCCTCTGACCCCAAATGTTTCTGGCCCTAAAAAGCCACAGGCATGGGCCTCAGGTATCCACCGGTAGTTTAGATGGTAGAAATTAGGTTGATAGTCAGGGAATGGTGAAATTAAATTAAAATCTGTCTTTTAGTACTCTACAAAGCTTCAGGTACTGTCAGAGCTGTAACCTTTGGAGAAAACAGCCCAGGTATCCTTTTAGGGATGGCCTTTAGCAAATGGTGAAATGGACAAAGCTGTTGGTCTCTATATTTTTACTGCTTCTCTTCAGTAAGCTCATCTTCAGACACCCATTGCTCTTTTCGCCCCAGGTCCTTCAATCATGAGGAAGGTGGATTTCTTAGGTAACAGCTATATCTATGGGCCAGGCATTCTGCTAAGCCCTTCTACACATTATTCCATTTAATCCTTAAAACAGACTTTAAAAAGCTATTATAATTACACTAATTTTACAGAATGGAACACAGGTTTAGAGAGGTCGAGTAACAGGATTACAGTTCCTAAGAGGTTGAGCCAAGCCTCAAACCTTGGTCAGCTGGTATTAATTGCCATACATTAATACTACCACTTGGCTTCTATCTTTCCCTTCTCTAGTTAATTTAGCATTTATTGTCTATATCACTCATTTGACACTTTAATCACACATTGCCTAGCATTCTAATTATTTTTTTACATAAATATATTATCTTCTTCTCAGTCCATTAAGTGAAGACCATACCGTAGCTATATTTGTAGCCCACACAGCACCTGTGGCACTGAGCCTAAAAATTGTAGCTTTTCACTAAATGCTTGTTAACATCTCTCATCTTGGGAAACAGTTCCCCCAGTTAAAACCCCTGTCCATGTCACTTTATTTAATGATTTTCAATTTAGAAAGATTCCATTGAGAACTTTATTTGAAAACGACAAAGCCAGTAGGACTGGACTTACAGCTACTATAATCCGCAATAGCTTTATCCCAGTTCCTCCTAAATGCTTTAGGATGCAATAGGACACCCACAACAGGCTCTACGTTCCTCCTAGAGGTACAGTATCGTAAAATCAAAGATTATTGTAGTAAATGACATTATTGGGCAATGTGACCTTCTTAATCTTCAGACAAACCTTTATAGCAGTCTGTGTCCAGACTCATCTACGAACCTGTTTTTATAGTCCTTGAGTTAATAGAGCCTCTACCAGCGGTTCTCAACCTGTAGGTCGCGAACACTTTGGGCGTCGAATGACCCTTTCACAGGGGTCGCCTAAGACCATCGGAAAACAAAAAGATATTTACATTACGATTCATAACAATAGCAAAATTACAGTTATAGAGTAGCAACGAAAATAATTTTATGGTTGGGGGTCACCACAACATGAGGAACTGTATTAAGGGGTC